TTTTTTGGAAAAAAAATTGCTTCGTGCGGAATTTAATTAGTCTTTTTAAGTTATTGGGTCAAAAAATGAAAAAAAGACGAAAATTTCTGAACTTTCAGCTCTGTAAATTTTTGTTTTGATTTATTCCCCTCTCTTCGTATCCCTTCTGCAAAAAATCCGTTGCCATAAGGACAAACTGTGGAGGTTTGTCAATGCTCATTTTGTGAATGTGATGTTCAATTTGAATGAGTTGCATGGAGTACTGTAATAGCCATAATCTAATCAAAATGACGATTAAATAAAACTGTAGGATTAGCAAGCAACCACAGCAGTGATAACACCAGCTAACAGTAATTGTAGCACCACCGTTACCGCTACTATAACGAAAACATTTATAACAATAGTAAAAATCGCAACTTCAAAAACGCAACTAGTTCAGGGACGTAAACTTTCAAAATTACAGTTGTTTCATTAAACACAGGCTTAGAAAAGACAAATTGGCAAGCATTTTGTTGATATTCTTTGCTTGGAAAACTTGATGCAATCGGTATACTAAATAAGATAACTTATACCGATTGTGGCAGCAACAACTGCAACATCGTCATCCGGTAAACCTTTCGCGGCCGGTAAATTTAGTAGTTTCTTTCCTTGCCAAAAGAAGGAGTTAAAGCGATTGATGAATAGATAAAAAGAGTGCTCACGTTTTCTTGGCAGTGCCGTCAAAAGTGAAAATAAACAAAAGGAAAGTGTGAAAAGGTGGTAATAGTGGCTGTTTTGTAATGAAGTGCCGTTTCGTTGTCTCTCAGCTTCATCACTGGTCGTTCGTTTTCGTCGTCGTTGCCGTCGTCGTCGTCATCATCGTCGTCGCCGTTGTCGTCGTCGTCGTCGATCATCAATCATCATTATAGCTCTGAAGTCCAATCATTTTCGTTTGGGAGTCTTCACAAAAAAAAAATTTTTTTTCTCGCAGGATAAATTGGCAACTGCACTCTAATGTGAAAGTTGTAAAAAACAGTTTTGGAGTGACCGTTGGTTACCTTTTTCAAAAATTGCTGTTAAGAGAGTGACCACTATCAATTGTGCATATTTTCCTCTTAAATTCATTGGATTTTTCACTCCCACTCCAATGTTCATGCTAATTTCAATGATCGTTACGGCTCTGTTGTTCATATATGATGCCACAGTTGCCGTCGTTGATGTTAGTGTTTTCAGTTTTCAGTTTTAAGACCATTGACTTCTGTTAACTGCTGGCCACATTTGAACTTTGACTGTTATTGGTTTTGTTTTATTATCTGCTCATTAATTATTGTATAGTTTTGTTTTTTTTTTTTAGCTTATTTTATCATAAACTACATCGGTTTACTATGAAGTAAGAAAATTTGAATATAAAAATAAAACTGTTTTATTAATTAATAAATTAATTGTTAGATTAAATGAATAAATAGGTAGAGAAGCTTTTCTTG